ATAACGGTCTGGCTTCCGCACATAAACATTGAATTCATGGTTGATCAGGACACCAATCAGATTTTAAAACCCTGCGCCAGTTTAAGCACTCATTTCAAAAGGTGAGGTCTAGTGACTTGCTGAAGGCCATTGCATCTCATAATGGGTGAGCCAGAGCAGGGTCAAAGCTGTCTAAGGGGCTGGCAGGATATCTGAGCTAGCACTGCTGATCCATCTGGGTTGGGTCCTGAGTATTGACCAAGCACACATTCTAACACATGCTATGCAAATACCAAAAATACAAACCACAGCTGTCACAATTAACAGATTAACATTCAGGCACACAAAAACAAACTGAGAATGTGTGTTTATCAGTGAGGTGTTACAGAACTGTTTCAAGTGCTAACTGTTGCTAGCTTTCCTTTCCTGCTGTAAATTTGACACGCCATTACATCTGATCCTAGAAGAATGAACTTCAATCATTTCACATCAGCTGAGGATTTATACCTGGCCATCCAAAATGCTTAATTCAACCAAACTTATTCTCTGGCCAACAGGGTTGAGCGATATCAGCAGATGTGAGAAACATAAAATGAATAAAATGTAAATGACATGAACTAACAAATGCTTTTGAGGTTAGGAATTCCCTAGGTGGCAGAGTGTTGCAACAATATGCTGACTTAAATACGAGGACACTCACCACTGAGAGGAAGAAGTCCAGAGACTTGACTGACAGTTCAACCACGGTCTCAGTGAGATGGATGCTTTCCATCCTTCAAGACCCTTCTATGATTTGGAAGTTTTCCTTGAGGCTTTTGCCTTCTGATCTTAAAACACACGTTTCATCTCTAGGTAGCACGTTCTTGTAAGACCATGGCTAGAAGCAGGACAACGGAGGCTGTGGGAGGAATAGTTGAGTTATTGGCTCCCCTTCCCTCCCCACTGAACCCACAGGCACAGAAGATATTCTGAGACCTCCTATGAGCCTCCTAAAACTGTGTATTTTACTTTTTTGTGTGTATTTATTCATTTATTTATTATATGTATGGGTACTTTGTCTGCACCTGTGTACATGCATGCAGTGCCTGTGGAGGCTGGAAGAGGGTGTTAGCTATACTGTGATTTGGAATGACATTTGGTTATGAGCCTCCATGTGGGTGCTGGGAATCTGGCAACTGTCCTCTGGAACAGCAGCCAGTGTTCTTAACCCATGAGCCATGTCTCTAGCCTCTAGCCTCTTTTTAAACAGAAACAAATAGAAGTTTCCGGAACAACTATAAAGTGTGCACAGAATATAATGCTATTCATCAGAAGGACTGACCAGAGGGACTAAGCAGTAGGATTCTGTCAAACTTTTAGTTTAAGTTTATAGAAACTTAAATTTATATACCATGTTGAACAGCATAATGTTACAGGCAGTTTTCCCGCCAGCCTCAACCCACAGCCGCCTCAGCCCCAATTAACACACAGAGACACTGTATTAGATATAAGGCTATTGGCCAATTACTGGCATTTCTTATTGACTAGCTCTGTCTTAAATATTAACCCATTTCTATTAATTCATGTTTCTACTTGGTCTTATCTTAACAGAGACAGGGTCTGGACCTCTTCCCTCAAGTCTCTACATCTTGAATCTCCTCTACTACATCTCCTAGAATCCTCCTTGTCTGCTAGTCCCACCTATTTTGCTTCCCTATTGGCCAACAGGGCTTTATTCATTAACCAATAAGAGAAACATATTTATAGGATGACATCTCCCATCAGCATAATTATTGATTCCTTTTGGTAAGTCACATTCCACCAATTGTAGTAAGCATGGCTGGATAATTGATTTGCCTGAAAAGTTTGAGAATGGCTTTTTGGCAGCTACCTTATGGCAAAAGCCATAGGAAGTCAATAGGAAGAGTCTTGGAGAATGAACTGTTAACACGGGAGAGGTAATATATACAAAAGGAAGCCATGTTCCAAGTTTAGATAAATCAGAATCATCTAGATTCTAGAGGCACATGGCTGAGGAGACAGAAATGGCAGAGTGATTGGAAAAGGGGGTCAAGAAAAGCTTCCAGAAGCTCACATAGTCTGGTAGAGAAGGCAGATAGGTAAATGAAATTGTTAGTAATAGATTTGGATAGACACATTATTTGTGAACACATATATTAAGACACTTATTCATGCAGGCATACAAAGTTAATATAGTTTTTGAAAGTCAACAACAAAGTATCTTTGATGTCTCTCACAAACCTCACAAGTCAGGATTCTCAAGACAAAGTGTTGCAATGTGGTCCATATGCCATCCTTGAAGCCACAGCTGCTGTGATACTGGACTCTCTCTCTCTCTCTCTCTCTCTCTCTCTCTCTCTCTCTCTCTCTGTGTGTGTGTGTGTGTGTGTGTGTGTGTGTGTGGTTAACAAGCAGTATCTCAGTTTCTATAGGACTTCCTACAATGGGACAGTCACAAACACAGTGTGAACTCAGAAAGGATCTATGAAACCCTACAATTCAAATGTTACCCTGTGCTTGAGGCCTGAGGTGGGGATTAGCAGTCACTAGACCTGTTTGGCAAGAAGCTATCAGGGCAACAGTAGCCTAATTGAAGCTTAGGTTTTGGTGTGATTCAGGGGCAAGAACTGTAAAGGTCAGAGAAGACATGCTCTGAGATCTATGCAGCCATGAAGAACTCTCACATCCTGGGTGCTTCTGAAGATTAAGAAGGCTCTGCACATTCTAAGGGCTACAGAGTTGTGAACTTATTTTCCTTTCTTTTCTGTTATCTTTCTTCCTCTCACCCCCACCCCCTGCCCCAAACAGGACAGGGTTTCTCTGTGTAGCCCTGGCTATCCCAGAACTAGATCTGTAGATCAGGCTGGCCTCAAACTCAAGAGATCCTCCTGCCTCTGCCTCCTGAGTGCTGGGATTAAAGGTATGTACCACCACTGCCAAGCTGTTTTGTGAATTTCTAAAGCCTGCTCCAGTTTGTTATTTTAAAAAAAAAAAAAAGGAGTTATTTTTAAAGATGGTGTGAATGATGTCCTTGAAGAAGTCTGACTTATCCATATAATAAAACCATTTCTTCCATATTTGTCTTTGGATTCAATGGTCTCATTTGTGACATCATTTTTTTTTTTTTCTGGTGATTTCATACTTTAGTGTTCTCAACTGTAGTGACATACAAAGATAACATCAAACTTAAGGCTTATGCTAAGTACATCTCAGAACGATCACACACATTTACCTCCATGATAGGTATTAAGATTTTCATATAGTCTAAGTTCATAGGCCTGTCTATAACTGTATCAACAGCAGCATGGCAATTAAAAGCTTTCATATTACTATGCTAAGATTTTATCTTTATTCAGAGAACAGGTGGTGATGCCATTGTTGATGTCTTTTTTTTTTTTCCTTAGTGAATAATCACCTTCAAATAAGTTCTACAGAAACATGGCCAACCTCATTTTAAAACAAATACCAGTCTGTGTCTAAAGTTAGTTATAAAGTTAAAACTTCTTAACCTTGGCTATAATCTCCTACTTTTCCTTTGTAGGTGCAGACCTGTGCTGTTTAACACATGTGACATAGCGTTTAAAGTCGAGTTTAATAAAATGAAATAAACAAAAGCAAAAACGAAGACCCAGTACTTACAGAATGGTAGATAAATTTCAAGGTCTATGTATGTAGCCATACAAGGTTACCACCAGGTCTGGAGCCTTTTCCCCTGAATGATACGCCAAGTTCCAGATCCAGGATGAATCTGCCGCCATTGAGTGTATTAGTAGATGCTAGACACTATTGGGCTTAGCTATTAGTTCAATATTCAAGAAGTGTCAACTGATGCACTGTCCAAACTTATGTAAGTTCATGGTAGATGCAGTTAGATATTCACTATTGACAAAGCCAAATAAATATTCCTGGGACATAACCTTGGAAACAATTTTTTGGGGGAGGCCTTTTAGACCCAAATATCTATCTATCTATCTATCTATCTATCTATCTATCTATCTATCTATCTATCTATCTATCTATCTATTTGCCATAGACAATGCCTCTTCCTCCAATTCTCTCAACCTAGGGCCAAGCAGCTGGAATGTCTACTCCTGAGCGCATGTGGCAGCCTAATGGTGACTGTCAGAATGGTCAGACAGAGTGGGTCCACGTATCCACACACGTGTCACAAGCCCCTCCTGATGAGTGGAGCCGGCCCAGGAAGCAAAGCCAGCAGGGAATGGACCCACCAAGGGCTGTGTGATCCCATGCTCTCTTTATGTTACAAGGCGGAACTCCAAAGTTCGTGAGATTTCTGTGTGCCAAGCTGCTTTTCCTAGTTGGTAAGGAGTTCTGTTTCTCAAGGGAGAATACAACTCATTTTGTTGGCTTGTATAGTGCCTATAAAACTTAAAAATAGGGTAGAAGGGCCTTGGTCTTGCAAATGTTAGGGTGGGGTCTGCCGTCATAGGCATGAATAATGAATTCAGCTGGGGCTTCTTGGCTACTGCTCGGACTTGGTTAACATGTGAGCGATCTGTGGCCTCAGAACTTCTGTCTCAAGGTTCCAAGGACCCTCAACTAGCCCGCAGCTGTTGCCGCTGCAGGTCAGGGACAGCTTCAGAGTGCAGTTTGTTGGAAAGAAACCTGTTTCCTGCCCTGGCGGATAATGGGGCTGGTGAAACTTTCCAACCGTGCCCTTCTTCGCCAATGCTTTGGTTTCAGGCTCTTTCTCCTCCTCAGCTTGGAGGAGGGAACTTCACCCCCTCGGGCTAGGACTCTCGGGGCGCACAGGGCTGCTTTGTCTGAAAGGCAGCGGCTCCGGGGATCGTGGAGCAGGCACAGCCAGCCGTCCCGCGGCTGGACTTGGGACTTAGTGTAGAACTTTCTTCCGCCCTGGGCAAGAGTAGCCGAGTTCCGGCCGGGACCCGGGGGCGTGCCCGGGTCGGGGTCGGGTCGGCCGGCTGCCCCGGAGAGCGCGCGGGGGCCCGGGGTGGGAGGAGCGGCCGCGCGGGGAGGAGCCGGCCGGCCGGGAGGAGGCGGTGCTCCCGCGGGCCGAGCAGCGAGCGGCGCCCGGGCGGCCCTGACCCCGCGTCTCCGCGGAGGGCGAGCGCGGCCGCGGACAAAGGAGCATGGCGTTGCGGAGCCGGAGCGGTCCTCGGGCGGCCGGGAGGCTCGGGCCACCGCCGGGCACGCCCGGCCCCGCCGCCTCCGTCTAGGCCGGTGGCGCCGCTCGGCTCGCAGGCCCGGCCGGCGGCATGGAGCCGCTGCCGCCGCCGCTGCTGCTGCTGCTGCTGCCGCCGCTGGCGCTGCTCGCCCTGCTGAGTGCAGGAGAGCGCGGGGCCGCGGCGCTGCCCGCCGGCTGTAAGCACGACGGTCGGGCCCGGGGTACCGGCAGGGCGGCCGGCGCCGAGGGCAGGGTGGTGTGCAGCAGCCTGGAGCTCGCGCAGGTCCTGCCCCCGGACACGCTGCCCAACCGCACGGTCACCCTGTGAGTAACCCGGGCCGGGACGCCTCCTGGCCTCTTTCTTAGCGGGGTGGGGTGGTGGGGTGCGGAGGCGCGCTCGATGGGCGCGGGGGTCTCCCCCGGATCCACGCTCCCTTTGTGTGCGCGCAGCGGCGGGCAGGGAGGGGGTGGTGCTGGGCGAGCCCTTGAGCTTAGCGTGGGCACCAGGGTGGCCGATCGCCCCCCACCCTCCCTCCCTCCCAAACCGCCACTGCTAGTTTGCCGAGAAAAGTTTTTTTCGGGGATCCCGGGCGCGCCCCACGCCATTCCGTGCGTTTGCGCTGCCCCGGCTGCCGCCGAGTACCACGTGAGGATGCAAGTAAACAGTTGGTGAAGTTAAAGCTCATTCATCCTGACTTTGGGGCTTCTAGAAAACACCATGCGTGCCCACCAGTGCTCGTGGACATGAAGTTGCACCTGAGGTACAGGTTGCAGGACACTTGGGCTTAGGGTGGCCCTCTGTGGTCCCTCAACCCATTCGTAGACCTTGCCTTAGCTTTAGTGTTCTTTCAGAACAGCTTCTAAAGCAAAGCTTCTGTTGTCTGGAGGACGTGAGATAAAGTTGTGCAAGTCCATTTCGGGCCCCGTACTCCAGTCTGAGAGCTCACACTGGAAAGCCAGGAACTTAGGGCTTGAAAAACTGTGTTTGTTGAGTGAGCCCTCCAGAGGCTGGGGTGGGGGTGGGGGACTCTGGGTTTTCGCGGTAGGTTTCCACCTGGAAGGAAAAAGTTTAGTCTTGGAAATGTAGTTCTTTCTGCCAACTGGACTGAACCATTGGCCCAGTGACTTTAGATTCTGTTTTCTGCGAATGATGAATTGGTTTGGAAAAGTTTAAGTCAGAGTGTTCCTAATGGATATTTTGTCAGACTGAAATATGAGTCCCTGGGCTTCGTGTCCCATCTATGTTGTTTTGGTTGGTTTCTTTAAAAAAAAAAAAAAAATCAAAGCTGCCACTATACACACATAAAGGCATGTGTGATCTATGAAACCACTTAAAAGTAGGATTTTTAATTTAGCCCAACTCATCAGAAGGACATGTGGTGGGTTGGTAACAAATTGACCTGTCCTTCTTTATTCTTTCCTTTTTTTCAATAAGGAGCCGTTTAACACAGGTTTTTAGAGATGGGTAAAGTAGTTTTTGTTGGCCTCTTACTGACACAACAGGTCGTTGTTGTCCTTGCCATTTGGTGGTGGTAGGAGTTGTATTTATTTAGTTTTGGGCCAGATGCTTTGAAGTGAAAAAGTGTGGGTACCTTAATCACAGTCTGAGTCTGGCGGAGAAGGGCCCAGTGTTGGAGAAGACGGTAAAAAGATCGTCACACAAGTGACTTGACTTAAGCAATGACTTGAACACTCAAATGCTGGGTCAGTGAGTGACACTCAGCTTGATTCCTGTTTATGCTCAGTTTTTCTGAAATGGGTCAACGGCATGTAAAATGTTGAAACAAAAAATGATGATATTGTAGAAAATCACTTTTTAGCCTATATTCCATTGAGGTAGATTTTGCATGAGTGTAGTGAGACCTTTGAAGTGTCATTTTGATCCTTCTTAAGAAAATGTCTGAAAGCTGTTTAAATGAAAATAAAATTAATACAATTAAATGACCAGGAGGAAATAACTAATGATCAGTTAAGCTGATGATGAACATGTTAGGGTATTTCAGGCCTGCTAGAAGGCTTTATAGGCTACTTTATTTTCCTAGGCAAGCTATCAGAAGAACTGTGGGTAAGTGGAAGATCCAAGTTCCCATAGTGATGTGGTGTCTGGGTCCTGGTTCAAGACTCTTGCTATGCAATTGAGATGTTTCTCACCAGAGACCACATCTGCCTTCATCTTTCATAGTTCAACGCCCATTGCTTTGAGTTGCTCCTAGGTGGGACATGTTTTATGGAAGTTTGGATTGCCTGTTTGTTTCCTAAGGCTGCTGTAGGTTGCTACGTACTTGGCTTCTTGAAATAATAAAATTATTCTCCCTTAGTTCAGGAGACTAAAGTCCAAAAGCAAGACGTTAGTTTCTTAAACTTTAGGATAGCTTTCTTCCTTGATAGTTTTGGCCTTTGGTGCTTTCCAGTTTATGGCTGGAGAACTCTAGCCTCTGCAGCTGAGTTTATCTGGCTCTCTTTCCCTTGTGTCTTTGTGCCTTAGGTGTTTCTCTCTCTCTCTCTCTTGATCTCAAAAGGAGCAGACATAGATTGAATTTAGGGTTCACTCGAAGTTCAGGGTCATCTCATGTTAGGCTCCCTTATTTCATTATACCTGCAAAGACCTATTTTCCAAATAAAGTTACATAGGGAGAGGCAGTTAGTTAGAGCTTGGACAAGTACCTTTTTTTCTTTTGGACACCATGTATCTTTTTACAGGGTAGAAAGGGTCAGGGGTGAGGGGCAGTTCAGTGGTTGAGCATTATAGGCCTAGCTCATACAGGGTTGTGAGTTTGATTTCCACCACTGCAAAAAATAAGCAAGCTTTCTTCTCGAGGGATGCACAGGCATTTGGAAAACAGTTTCTGAATAAGTCTTAGAGCAGTGTGGTAAATGTTTTATTATTGGGATGCACATCTAGCAAAAATGACCCAGAGGAAGGCAGCAAGCCTTAGTGCTTGGTGTGATCCCGGATCTGAAGAAGGTCTTGAGCCAGTTCTGGGAAAATAAAGACAGTTGAAGAAAATAGTGGACTTGGCCAAAGGAGGGAGTTGGAGTCAGTGTACTCCACCATGCCAAGACTCTCAGAAGGCAGTCGTCAGGATGCTGTGCAGTTGCTGGCTCTAGAATGCTAGGGAGCAAATGTCCATTGCCTGGATGCTCACAAGAAGGGGAAATTGGAAGGTGGCTGGCTCCCTGGTTTAGGCTCCAAGTGTGTGTGTATAGCCAAAAGTTTCCAGTGAGTTGACATGCTGCTGCAGACAGGGAATTTAACTGGTTCGGATTGTGAGGGTGACAAAGACTGGCCAGGTTCCTGTTTGCTGAGGAAGGTGACAATACTGTCTGTAGCCGGATGATGTGACCCCTTTCAGCTGTGTGAATAAACAGCTCTCCCCTTCAGGGCTGTATTCATCAAACGAAGCTGAGCAGAAATAAATCTTTGGCTCGACCGCACTTGTTCTAGGACTTTAAGGGATTAAATTCGTTTATAAAATGTTGCATATGAGCTGACCAAAAATTACCTGTATTTAATAGTTTTGCAGGAAACAGATTATTTACTACCTTCCTGTGTTTCGTAAGAAATAGTCAATGTATTGCTTTGAAAGTTCTGAGAACTTCATTGGTCGAAAGTTTTACAGGTTTAGCCATGCTTTTCCTATTGGCCTTCACAGTGGTTCTAGGAGAATAAATAAATTAGGAATTGTCACTTAGGCGGGAAGTCTAGTTTTCCTCCTAGATTGTTTGACAAATGAAAAGAGTGTATGTGTTTGGGTCTTTATTATGTGAATTGTCATGCTGTTTTCTGTCAGTTGATAATTATTTAGACATCTCTGGTATGGTATAGTACAAGGTACAAGAAGTAGAATTCTTGGATTCTGGAACTTAAACATTGTTAGAGGGGAAGGACGGGATAGTGGGAGTGGGTGGCATTAAGGTACAGTTAAAGAATGCCTGTAATTATGCAGTAAGTCCTGCACTGCAGACTTTCCCCATGTTTTAGTAGACTTGAAACGGTGAGAGTTCTGGGTAGTTATGGAGTCACTGGGAAGTACTTCTTTTTTTTTTTTTCCTGGAAGAAGTAAGGACTTGAGTATGGCCTCGGGGAAGGGAAAGCTTGGATTAAAGGACAGAGACCTTGCTGGGCATGAGAAGATGGACTAGTTGCCTGACCTGCTGAAAGGGAGCTCTTGTGTTGGGCCACTAGTGTAGGGGTAGCTGACAGACGCCAGCTTTCACACACCCTGTGTTTCATGGAGTAGTTGGGAAAGAGATGAGAAGGAGGAAGGCATTCCAGGCAGAAACTAGAGGCTGTTGGAACCAGAGGAGACTGGAACAGAGACCACCCTCCTGGAGGAGCCGCTGAGGCTGGCAAAGAGAAGACGGATCATGGGAGCCCAAAGAAGCTTTTTTTGTTGTTTGTTTTTCAGGACAGGGTTTCCCTGTGGTTTTGAGCCTGTTCTGGAACTCTCTGTGTCCAGGCTGGCCTCAAACTCACAGAGACCCGCCTGCCTCTGCCTCCCAAGTGCTGGGATTAAAGGCGTGCGCCACCACCGCCTGATGAAGCTTATATTTCAGTGTGGGAGAAGCTGCGTGGTGATGAGGTGCAGCCAGACCTGGGCCGTTGTGTGAAGGTTTGAAAACCCTTCGAGAGCAGTGTCCACGCCACACACACACACACACACACACACACACACACGAAAGATGCCCGGCTGGCTGGCTTGCAGGGAGTAGGGGGTCGGGGAAGATAGAAACAGCACATGGATGGGTAGGAGTTTGGGGTGAAAGAAAGCAGGAGGGTGCCGTGTTCTTCAAGGACACAAGTTTCCTGGGGAATGTGGGGGGTGCACCGAGTGGGATTGGAGACAGGAGCCGAAAGGACAGATGGCGGTGGAAGGAGAGGGAGAGAGAGACGGCGCTGGGCATAAGTGGAGTGTGGCTTTTTTTGGCAGCAGAGACTTTCCCTCCCTGTCAGAGTGATAAGAGACAAGGTATAACCAGGCCTAAAGGAGGAAGAGGGCAGGCAGCTGTGGGGGGGGGGGGGAGGCTCCTCCTCCTGGTGTCCATGTTCTTAGAGAACACAGGTGTTGGAGGAGGGGGAAGAAGAGTCATTCAGAAAGTGAAGCCACTGGCAATCTCCAGGGGCCAGCAGGGTGGGCTCCTGTCCAGTTCTGTCCTATAAAGCACTTAAATTCAGAAGCAGGCTTGCTATCTCCAGTTGCTTTCAGCCTGCAGAGCCAGGGTCTTGTGGGCGGGAGGGGGGGGAGGTTGCTTGCTAGTTGGGCGAATATAGTCATAGAGAAACGGGTTTTTATGGAACAGCCCCTCTCCCTTTTAGTTAACCT